ACCAACCTCCGCGTCTTTGGGTGTCTTGCCTACCCTTGGCTACGCCCTCATATTACTCACAAATTACAACCCCGATCCCGTCCTTGCATTTTTTTGGGCTACCATCCTACCTCCAAGGGTTATCGCTGTCTTGACCCACAAACTCATAAAGTCTACATATCTCGTCATGTCAAATTTGTCGAAAATGAGTTTCCCTACGAGTCTATTTCCTCCTCCACAAATACATCATTCATTGGCGTCCTTCTCTTTTTTCCAACATACTCACAAGGTCTCTCACCACCTTTCCCCACACCTCTACCCACTACCCAACCAACCCTCATCACCCCTTTGACCGTCACCCACAATACACCCGCAACCACCACCCACACTCACAACCAAACTGAACCACCCCATACCCACAACATCTCCAGCCCGATCCGTTTTGGGTCCTTCCCGGCCACCCCCGAATCACCACCGCCTGTGCCACCCCCAATACTCATCCCATGTTAACCTGTGGCAAAGCCGGTATCTTTAAACCCAAAACCTTTCAGGCTACCATACTACCAAATACACCCCTTCCCGATAGTGAACCAACAACTTACTCTGTTGCCTCAAAAAATGCTTATGTAGTGAACTAACAACCTACTCTGTTTCCTCAAAAAATGCTTATTGGCGTCATGCTATGGATGACGAGTTTAAGGCTTTGACTGATAAGAAAACTTGGGTTCTTGTACCTAAGCCCCATGGGCGGCACCCAATGGGCTGTAAATGGGTGTACAAAATTAAACACAATGCGGATGACAGTATTTCCAGGTACAAGGCTCGTTTGGTTGCTAAAGGCTACAATCAGGAGAATGGGCTTGATTACTCCGAGACATTCAGTCCTGTTATTCGGAAGGAAACCATTCGCCTGGTACTGTCACTCGCCGTGCGCAACAATTGGCCCATGAATCAGTTGGATGTTTCTAATGCTTTTCTTCATGGCATGCTTGATGAAACTATCTACATGACGTAACCACAGGGCTATGTTGATCCCCGCTTCCCTCAAAATGATGGCAAACTCCAGAAGTCTCTGTATGGGCTCAAGCAAGCCCCCCGTGCTTGGTACACACGTCTGAAAATGTTCCTCCAGGGACTCGTCTTCACGTGTTGCGTACACGATACGAGTCTGTTTACTCGACATTCAGCACAGGATGTCACTCAAGCTATGCATACTACCTTCAAAATGAAGGACCTTGGCCCATAACATTATTTTCTGGGAATGTAGGTTTCTCGGACAGGCAGCGGCTTGTTTCTTCATCAGTCAAAATATGCTCGAGATCTGTTGCAGAAAGCTAGACTGGAAAAATGGACCATTCAACAACACCGATGGCAGTCTCTTTGTCTACGAATGGAGACGACACCCCCTTTGCCGATATCACCCACTTCCGCAGCCTCATTGGGGCTCTACAGTATCTGGCCATTACCCGTCCCGACATCCAGTTTGCTGTCAACCGAGTTGCTCAGCGCATGCATCAACCAAGTGAACATGATTACCATTGTCTAAAATGCATTCTCAGGTACATTTTTGGCACTCTTGGTCGTGGTTTACTCATTCGACCCAGGGACTTGGATCTTCGGGGTTTCTCAGATTCAGATTGGGCGAATGATAAAAATGACAGAAAATCTACATCGGGGTTTCTCGTTTTTTTGGGGCCGAACCTGATCTCCTGGTGTACAATAAAACAACCCAAGGTCTCTCGGTCCTCGACTGAAGCTGAATAGCGCGCCCTTGCTCTTCTTGCTGCTGAGACCATGTGGGTCACATATATTCTTCGCGAACTCCGCGCCACTCACACTGTTCCTGCTCTCTATTGTGACAACAAATTAACCATCTGTGTGGCCAAGAATTCCGTCCTACACACCAGAATGAAGCATGTTAATACCGATTGTCTCTTTGTTCGCGATGAAATTCAGGCCGACACCATGACTGTGCAGTATGTACCCACTGAAGAACAACCGACTGATATTCTCACCAAGACTCTCCCGAGCCGACAGCACGATTACCTCAGTTCCAAGCTTCCTTTCGCTTCCGCTCAGCTCAGGTTGAGGGGGGATAATAACAGATAGTATTAAATAAATAGTATTAAATAATATTAGTATTTACTATGTACTAATCGTAGTCCTATTAGGATTAGTACTTCTTAATCCTAGTCCTATTAGGATTAGTTCTCCTTCCTATATCTCCTATATATATCTCCCATGTATTCCCTTATTAGGTTAACACTTTAGTACAATTAATATTCCTTCAGTTGGTATGCTTTTCAGACAAATGTGGTTGGACTATGAAGGCGTCCTGCAGGAAAAATCTAATATATTCATTGTTAGAAGTTTCAATAGTGAACATATGTGTCCGATGAGGGAGAGTGTATTAACCAAAGTCCAATCAACAGTCGGATTTGTAAGTGGAGTTACTGCTCCAAAATTGGTCAATCGTAAACGAATTTATACTCCAAGAGATATAAATGATGATATTAGATAATAATATTATGGGGTTGAAATATCTTCCCAGAAAGCATGACGTGCTAAAGAACGTGCACTCTCCATGATTAGGGGAAAACCATCTGCAAGATATAGACGGTTGCCGCGATACATACACATATTAAAAACCGTGTATCCAAATTCTTATATAAGAATGCGTAAGACTGAAGAGGATGAATTTATGTATCTGTTCATCGCCTTAAGACCATTCATTAGGGGATTTAATTACTGCAGACCAGTAGTTGTTGTGGATGATGCACATCTGAGTGGAGCTTACAAAGGGACATTTATATCAGCAAGCATACTTGATGGCGCATGTATTTTTTTATAGTTATGATGTGTTTTTATATGTTTCGTATCAAATGATATAATGTGTATGTAATCAGGTTGCATATTTCCATTGGCATATGGTGTTGTTGACACCAAAAATGATTGTTCGTGGACATGGTTTTTCGAACAATTCAAACATGCATTTGGTGTGAGAAAAGATATGTGTGTTGTTTCAGATAGAAATGAGAGTATCATGAACAGTGTGAGGATTGTGTTCCCAAATGTACCTCATTATGCATGCATCTGGCATCTTTGGAAGAATGTATGTGGAAACTTCAAAAGGAGTAGAAAGACCATAAGTGATCTATTCTATTCTATGACCAAGGCATATAGAAAGGAAGATTTTTATAAGTTGATGGCTAAGGTTGATAGAATTGATCACAGGGTTAAGGAGTACCTTGAAAATACAGGTTACGAAAAGTGGTCAAGAGTTCATGCAACAGTAAACAGAGTTAGAATGATGACTTCAAACATTGCAGAATGCGTCAATGGCTGTCTTGTTGAAACACGTCAATTAACCATATTAGAATTCTTAGAAGAAGTTAGAATTTTTTTTGGTTCTTGGCATTGCAAAAACAGAGAAGTAGCCTCATACACAAAGGACACATTAGGGAGAAAATTTGAGGAATTGTTGATTATAAACGCGGATAAAAGTTCAAAAATGGAGGTATGTATCATTATATAATACTTTATATCATATATATCTAATTCATTGTATCATTCTGCATTTTGAACATGATTTGTTTTTTAAAAATTATATATTTAAAATTTTGAATGTACACAGGTTGTTCCATCATCTGAATTTATTTTCTCAGTTTATGAAACTGGAAGAAGATATATTGTTTGTCTTGAGCAGAAAGTATGTTCTTGTGGTAGATTTCAACTAGATGAGATACCTTGTTCACATGCAATCGTTGTATTGAACAAAAAGAATGTCACATATATAAATCCGTATTTCTCTGATTACTACAAGCCTGATGTATTGGCAAAAACATATGAAATTCCAATTGTACCAATGCCAGATAAGGAATATTGGTCAGATCCTAATAATGTGGTAGCTAAAACTGTGTATCCCCCTAGATACAGAAGATCATCTGGATGACCAAGAAAAAGAAGAAGAAAGAATACAGATGAAAAGATTTCGGTGAATACAAACTGTTGTGGAAATGTGGTCAAGAAGGACAGAACATAAGAACTTGTACTTTCTACCCAAAAGAGAAGTGAATTAGTCGTAATGTTTCTAAGATATCAATATTTTTTTTGAATAATTTATAACGTAAACATTTTAATGATGTTCAGTATTCATTACAGTTGCAATTTGAACACTTTTTGTTTAGATAAATAAACTTATAAATAACACGTGTTAATTAAATTTTAAGTCTCGCTTTTGATTATAAATACTTTGTTATTATTGGTGTTGAGAAATATATTTGTGTCAATATTTCTTTTTAATATAAAATTTTGTAAATCTTATATTACACTAAGAGATATAAATTTAAGGATTATTAGGTAACATATTGTACATGATACATATGGTTTAGTCAATGTATCATGTACTTTTAATGTGTGTTTGGGTAACTTAGTACACATGTATCATTTGCTTTGCTCAATGTATCATCTCCATTAAATAAAAAATAAAAAATATTATTGAGGTTAGTGTGTACTTTACAATGACTATAAATCATGTGATGTGATTTTATATAATTTAACTTGTGTAATGCATTTTTTGATATGTTTTACTTGAAATATACAGTAAATAACTTTACTTTTACAAATTTATCGCAATTCATATAACTATGCTATTCTTTGTAACTAAGTATCATGTAAAATTTAGTTTTCAAATAAACTATTTATTTTTATGTTTAATTATAAATACTTTGACTATACTTTGTTAAACCTGTGTGATGCTATTATATGTCTGATATTTATATTTTCAAGACAAAAATACTTGTTACGTAATGCAACAAAAAAAATATTCATGGAAATTGACAAAACCAAAAAAATAACATTAAAAAACATCAAAATACTTGTTCAATAACGTATCAATACAAGAAATATAACATTAAAACATTGTTTAATCATAAAATGTTACACTATGTGAACTAGATCTTCTTCTAGTGGTGGTGTGACTACGCCCCTAGATTCTGGTGGATCATCATTGTCACTAACATATCCGCACTTAGCCTTCTTGTTGCCATAACTCCACATCAATGCTCCATATCTTTGACGTAGGTAATCAGGACTAAACTCAGCATATGATATATTGATTTGGTCACTTATATACTCGGCAAATGCAGTAACATATAACCCACATTCTCTACAAAAAATACAGAATAAATTTAAAACTTAATGATACATGATTAAGGACAAACAAAAAATTCTTGATACTTACAGGATATCACAATCCTGTTTAGCAATGTCTTGTGCAAATTTAATCATGAAAGGAACTTGAGGCTCCAGAAGTGAACCAGTAATGTTGTGTTTGTATGCATGACAATCAACAAAATTTGTGCGTTCAGTTTCTTCAAAGAATTTACTGTCCAGTAGGTAAGAAGGAAGCATTTTAGATAACATTTTTATCTCATAAGGAATTGCTTTTTTCCTTGTGCATATTGATGAGTCAAAAACTCTTATCACCCTGTTTTTCAACTCAACAACTTGCTGCACCCAATGGAATTCTTGATCGCAGTTAATTGGGATGTAGACCTCATCTATAAGATGCAATGGTAAAGCAGCTGAAATTTCAAAACCTTTGATGATGTTAATTATTGACCTCTCATATACAGAAACAACTGAAGCGCGATCAACATGTTGTTGTTTACTAAGGCTATCATCATCATTTTCCATGTAATATCTATCATATCAATTTTTTACATGTGACATGAACAAGCAGTGGTTTGTTGTGTATATGTAGTGATCCATGTTGCAAAGTTTTGATTTTTTACGAAGGTAGTAAAAAATCACATCGATGTGCTATAAACAAAATGAAAACATAGTAAGAAATTATATACATCTAAACAATATAAAAAATATAATTATTAAAAAATTGATCATAAATTTTGCTAATTAAATAGTATGATACTTCTACAGAATGTATCATGTTATAATAATATAAGTGTGACTGATACATATTTAATAATTAGTTTAAGATTTTTACCTCATCAGACCAACTTTGTTTGGCTGTGACATGGCATAGAACTAATTCTTGTTCATTGGAAAAGCAACAACAAAGTCCATTATCGTAAATCCAAAAGAAGAAGATTTTGATCTGTATTTATCGTCTGATGGGTTCTTGCATATATGATACATAAGTTTGAGTATATAGACATGATACATAAGAGTCACTTAATTACAATTTTTATACAACAAAGTATCATGAATTAGTTATATAAAAAATAATTACGCCAAACACTTGGAAAAATAATATATAAAACTTACTTATTGTTATGATTTTTTAGGAGCCCCCTTGATAACCAATTCATATAATCCTCAATAAGTTTTGGCGAAACTTGATCTGTAATGTCACATCCTTTGAACGGAAAATGGAGTCGAGCCATATCCTTCAATTTCTCTTTTCCCTTCTCGCTTGACCCAAAAGAAGTACAATATGGAGATTTAATCCTTCTTGAAGGCATTCTATTTCTATGGACAGGTGTGACTGAATCGGTTCTAACACCAATATCAGTTATTGGAATGTCAGTGGGTAATTGACTGTCGGTCAACAAGTAGTGGCTGCTAGTTATATTCTGTGGATTGTAAGAATATAATAGTCTAGCATCAGTAGGATCTTTACCCAAATCTTTGATAAGTGCATCTATTGCTGCTTGAGTTGATGACGATATTGTTGTTGAAGTGGAAGATTCCTGTATAATATGATGTAATGATTTTTAAAATAAATTTGTGTGTACTAAAGTGGTGTGTCATAAATCAAAATTTTGAAAAATCTACCGATGCATCTATTGTTGTTTTACAGGTAAAATGTGAGGGATGTTGTGTTGAACATTGTCATCACCATCTTGCTCCATGATATGTTCATTTAAATCTTGGCGCGACTGATGTGCATCACCATCTTGAATATGCAGTTTAGAAATAAAAATTGTTAATATAATTTGTGTTGATACGTAAAGTGATTATACTCACATGATACATAACATTGACTATATGTGCATGATACATGACATCAACTAAAATGAAAAAGAAAGTGTCCGATGTATCATAAACATTACCTTTGGAGTATCATTGACTTGTTGTTCACCCTCGTTTATAGAAACACCAACACCATCCTCAGCGACATTCCCTGCATCGTCGATGATTTGATGTTCACCATTTTTACCAGAAAAATCAACACCATCGTCAGCTACACCACCCATATCAGAAAGATCAATTGGTATTTGCGGAGATGTTTATTTATCATACTGAAATGTGCTTGTATAAGCCTCAAAATTGATATTTTCCTTGCCTAGAGATTGCACCAACTGGGAGTGGTTTTTTTTATCAATATAATCAGTTCCTCAAATTTGTTTTCAACCTACAAATTGTAGATACATTTAGGATAAAAATAAAAATGCATTTGATTAAAAATATCAAATAATTTACTTACGTAAGTTTTCAAATGTCCTTTCAACTTTTCAATATATGGAATTATATTGTTGACTTTCTGAGTATCTGCAGAACCATGTTCATCAGCAGCCGAGTTCGGAGACACGTCTGGAACAGAACCATGTACATCAGCAGTCAATTTTGGAGACACGTCTGGAACAGAACCATGTACATCATCAGCATTCGAATTGGGAGACAGATTTAACATAGAAACGTGTACATCATCATCCAGTGTCGGAGACACATTTGATTGATCAGGCTGGTTTTGTTCTGACACTTTCTTTTTTTGTATAGCCACTTTTTTTCTTCTTTTTGGCGGTGGTGGAGGAGAAGTATTAGACACTCTATAATATCTCCTCAATAACTATTCGGGAGGTTTGGTGGAGCAATTATCAAAATCATCTTCCTCATTTGGTTGTACTGATGGAAATGAAGAAGAATGAGCATGTTCAACTTGAGCAAGGTCAAAAGCTTCAATTTCCTCTGCTGTTGGGACAATGTTTGAACATGCATTCTGAATGTATCACAACACATAAGATAATTTAACTATTAATATAATAACATTTCACAATGATCACAAGACATAAATAACGACATTCCATAGACAAACATAAAATTTTACCTCTTGGAAAATGGTAGACATAAGCATTTCAAACTTTGCCTTATCAGACACAACTCTCCAATTGCACATTTTTGGGATGACATTTCGTTCTTTAACAACTATTTCAGAATTTAACTGGGATGCACTTTCGTATATCCAAATGTTAAGTGTATATGGCATCCCATATAATCGATACAACTTTTTTCTAACATCAAAATCCTGTCTAAGTGAACCAATTAGTTTTGAGAATGATAGCTGACCCCAAGAATAATCTTGATATCTACCATCTTCAACCATCAGAAAGTCCACAATGGATATAGTTGTATTATCAAGAGTAGCCAATACGAATGTATGAATAAAAAACAGTATAGACAATTGGAGTGCATCCTGATCGTTCCCCCAATTACCCATCTTAAACCGTTTAACTAATTGATACTTGGTAACACTATTGACTGCACCAGGAAAATACTTTTGGAAAAGCATACAATTAGTTGGTTCTGGGTATTTGAAATCATTGGTATTGCCTCTGACATTAAGTCCAATTAATAATTGCAAATTCATCTATACCAAATTTTAGGACACACCCGTTTGAATGTCTAATATGCAACACATTAGGGTTGCTTTGTTCCAACTCTAAAAGCAACAAGCACTTAGTGATTTGGCCCTAAAAATTACATTTAGTAATATCTAAAAAGGGTCCAAAAATTGTATCCCTAAACAGTTGGATAACATTCTCCCCTATGTATTTTTCAAAGTCCTTTAGAAAAGTGTTGTTAAAATTGACAGCAAACCTTATGGGATGTGTTGGTATCTTTTTTATCTTGTACTTGAGTGACTGCAATTTGAAAAAAAACAACACATTATAACGATATTGATATATAAATACTAAATAAAACAACTAA